TGTCTATGTGCAGCGCATCCAGATCAACAACCCCACGGAGCGGGTGGCCGCGCTGCAGACTGTGGGGCCCACCGCGGGCCCAATCCCCAAGGCCTTCGCCAGCACTCTGGAGAAGGTCGGAGATCATCAGTTTCTCCTCTACTCGGGCCGGTCCACGCCCCTCCCGTCGGGGCTCGTGCACCTGGTGGTGGTGGCCTCTAAGAAGTTAGTGAACCGGCTCCAAGTGGCTCCCAAGACGCAGCTGGATGAGACGGTGCTGTGGGTGGTGCACGTGTCTGGTCCCATCCACCCCCAGGTGCTCAAAAGCAAAGGAACCAAGGAGCTCAAGGCGCTGCAGGACTTGGCAAGGAAGGAGATGCTGGAACTGTTGGAGATGCCCGCCTCGGAGCTGCTGCAAGATCACCAGCGCCTCTGGGCCCAGCTGTTCAGCCCGGGTGAGGCTTTGGTGGGGGCTGGGTGCACAGTCTCCGCTCTGCCCCAGTGAGCATGCATCCACTTTAGAAATGTTCTCCATGCCCTGCAGCGGTCACACCGAGGGTTGGAACTTTGGCATAATGTTAAGGTCGAATCTGTTTTGACCACTTTGAAGCTGGATGACCTTGGCTCTGTGGGCTTCTTAGCTTTCTGAGCCTCAACAGGAAGTTTTACGGGGTTTTCATGAAGATCTGAGTGTCAAGGTTCACTTTTATTGTTTGTTCTTGGCTTTGAGGCCTGACCTGAACAGGTGGAGGGTGTTGTTCTGTGTGGGAAGGGAGTCCATTTGTAAAGAATAAACCATCAGGGAGACACCTCCCACCCCCCAGACACTCTGCTTTGGCCACCACAACCTGCCTGGGTCTGGCCTTGGCTTTTGACGTTTGAAATCCATTTTGCCATTGTGGCTGCAGCTATTTTACCAGAACGCAGGAGGCTTCTTCTTCCAGTGGGTTGGAATGTGTATGCTAAATGAAAACTTTCTTTTCTTTTCTTTTTAAAATATCTTTTATTTGTTCTTTGCAAATGAAAACCTTTCCTGTTAACTGTTAAAGAAAATGCAATCCTCAGCACTCTGGAGGCAGATGCAGGTGGACCTCTGTGAGTTCAAGGCCAGCCTGGTCTATAGAGTGAGTTCCAGGACAGCCAAGGCTACACAGAGAAACCTGTGGGGGTGGAGGGATTGCAATCCAACATACTGAGTTTTGCATTCCAGGGTTAGTTATCAGCACTCATGTGTGGTTGGTTGTACAGAGGGAGTTTAGTTCTGTCAACAGGTGCTTTTTCCATAGGCTGTGGGACACATGAGCAAAAAACTGAGTACTGTTTGCCTTAGTCTTGTTGGGAGGAAGACAGGAGCGTGAACGTTCCTGTCTTTTAAGTGAGACAACTCTTAGAATGCAGAGTGCTGTGGAGAAGAGAGTAGTGGGTGCTGGTGAGAGTGCAGGGTGGGAGGCCCTGCTGCTCAGCACCCCGGATGCAGCACCAGCTAGTTAGGCCTGAGTCATGTGACAGGGAAGTGGGCATTCCGCCAGGAGACTGCCCTAAACAGGAGCAGATCAAGCCTGGTGATGAGCAGGAACAGGGTGGTGTGAGCCTGAAGCCTTGAGGAGAAGGACAGGGAGTGAGGGGGCATGGACACAGGTAAGTGGTTCCTGGGGAGCCCAGGGGAAGGAGGAGACACCTGGTTGGGGCATGGAGATGGAAGTGGTGGACCTGGATATTTGGGAGGTAGCAATGTTGGACCATGGTCTGGCTGTGGGAAGTGAGACCTGATTTGGAGAAAATAGGGGAAGCCCTGGTTGGAGGTGAAAGTTCATTCTAGGTCAGTTGTGCCTGTCAGACATCCAGGTGGAGATGCTGAGTGGGGTGATTAGCCCTTTGAGTCTAGATTAGAAGCCCTGTCATTTAAAGCCACAGCACTAAACCAGATTAAGGTACTTTCAGTCTATAATCTCAGCACTTAGGGAGTGTGAGGCAGGAGGATGTCGAGTTCAAGGTCAGCCTGTGCCTCCAAAAGAAGAAAAATCAAATATTAAAATAGCTATAATAGGGACTGTTGAAATAGCTCAGTGAGTAAGAGCACTTGCTGCTGTTCTGGAGGACCTGGGTTTAATTCCTGGCATCCATTTGGTGGCTCACAATGGACTATGACTCCAGTTTCAAGGGATCAGGGTCATCTTCTGGCCTCCAAGGGCTCCGAGCGTATATTATGCACACATGCATTTATACATATATAAAATAATTTCTTAAGCTACAGTTACTGGAGAGAGTGATAGAAGAACCATCCAGTATTGGCTAGGCACAAATGACTCTGGTTGGGGCTTTTAGACCATAGAATTTAGACAAGACCTGACTCAGTGTATGTTGTTCTCGGCTCTGGCAGGAGGTCCCATGAACCCTAGCTGATCTCGTTAGATGTCTTATTACTTAACTCTTCATCATTATGACAAAAGCAACTTACTGAAGCAAGTTTAGTTTGGCTTGTAGTTCAAAGAGGCGCAGCCCATGAGAGTGGGAGAGACATAGGAGCAGGAGGTCACACAGCATCTGCAAGTCAGGAAGTAGGGAGAGATGGGTGCTGGTATCAGCCTGCTGTTTCCTGTACTCAGTCCTGAACCCCAGCCCCGGGTGTAGCACCACTGACATGTAAGGATCTTCCCACCTCAACCTGCTGTAGAAACTCTTCCATAGATGTGCCCATGTGTTTGCTTCTGTGATAGTTGAATGAAGATTTGCCATCTGTGAAGTCAGGATGGTGCTGCCATACCCAGGGCACGAAACTGCTGTCCTTTATGACTGGACCCAGAGCTCCACCTCTGTAGCCCTGGCCCTCCGTTTCCTCTGCCTCCAGCCAGGCCTTCTTCCCTAATGTGCAGCCTTTGGGTGTTGCAGGTGTGGAGATGAAGAAGATCACAGATGCCCACACGCCGTCCGGCCTGACCGTGAACTTGACGCTGTACTACATGCTCTCCTGCTCACCGGCCCCCCTGCTTAGCCCTTCTCTGAGCCACAGGGAACGAGAGCAAATGGAAGCAACGCTCAACTATGAAGACCACTGTTTCAGTGGCCATGCCACCATGCATGCTGAGAACCTGTGGCCAGGCCAGGTCTCCTCAGTGCAGCAGATCCTGCAGCTGGCTGACCTGTGGAAGCTGACCCTCCAGAAGCGAGGCTGCAAGGGGCTGGTGAAGGTTGGCGCTCCGGGAATCCTGCAAGGCATGGTGCTCAGCTTCGGCGGGCTCCAGTTCACAGAGAACCACCTGCAGTTCCAGGCCGACCCCGAGGTGCTCCACAACAGCTATGCACTGCACGGAATCCGCTACAAGAACGACCACATCAACCTGGCTGTGCTGGTGGATGCCGAGGGCAAGCCCTACCTGCACGTGTCTGTGGAGTCCCGAGGCCAACCTGTGAAGATCTACGCCTGTGAGGCAGGCTGCCTCCATGACCCTGTGGACCTGACCTCAGAGCCTGGGGGCCATACCTTCTCTGTCATGGTGACACAGCCCATTACACCACTGCTGTACATCTCCACTGACCTCACACACCTGCAGGACCTGCGGCACACGCTGCACCTGAAGGCCATCCTGGCCCACGACGAGCACATGGCCCAGCAGGACCCCGGCCTGCCCTTCCTCTTCTGGTTCAGCGTGGCCTCCCTGATCACTCTCTTCCACCTGTTCCTCTTCAAGCTCATCTACAATGAGTACTGCGGGCCTGGAGCCAAGCCCCTCTTCAGGAGCAAGGTAGGCCACCTCTACTCCTAAAGTCCCATGCTTCTGCCATTCTCAGCCATGTCCAAAAAGGGTATCCTGGCCAGGGGACAGCCTAGGCAATAGTGGGATGTCCTTCAAACCAGCGCCCACAGCTCTCAGTGTCAAAGAGAGGAGTCTGTTTTGACAGCAGGCTAGTTACGGTAGTGTACTCCTGTTATCCCCGCATTGAAGATGTTAAAGCAGTAAAGTTGTGAGCTTGAGAACAAAAACCCCAAACCATTGCCCTTAAAAGTCAGGCTCGCAGTGCCGATCTGGGCGATGCAGTTATTTTGTCAGCCCACAGCAGCAGGAGAGCCAGGCCCATCTCTGCCCCTCTCCTCTCCCCAGGCCATAGTAGACCAGGTAGTAAATCTGTGCCCCAGCATTTAGGAAGCCCTGATCCCACACAGGAGATGGGCCAGTCCCTGCCACCAAGAAACTGGCACCTGGTTTCTGGTTTAAGGCCAGGCTTGCAGGGCAGGCAGAGCTTGGCTCTCAGGAGCAGGCAGCAGATGGAGGCGGGTCTGAGTTCCTCACGATGGGGAACCAGCGGAGACTTGGGTCGGAAACCAGTGTGGAGAAGGCCTTCCCAGTAGCCAGCTTTTGGCCTGCTGTGATAGAAAAGGTGGGTTCTGCAGCCTCTGGAGCCCGCAGGCTCTTTCCCCTACCGGCCACTGGCCTGCCCTAGCTCTTGCTTGGCACGTATGTTCTTACATGTTCAACGTACAATTGGGAAGACAAACTGCCTCCCTGAGGAGCTGCCCATGCCCCACACTGCCATGCCAGAGAGAGCCCCAGCCATAGTATTGCTAGCCTGGCCCTGGGCCAGGAGCTGTGTGTTTGGCTGGATCTAAGACATTGTCCTTGTGGTCTGCTCCCCTACCAGTGTGTGTACTTTTCTATTTTGAGATGGTCTCCTGTAGCCTAGACTGGCCTTGAACTTGCTATGTAGTAGCATTGAACTCTCCTCCTGCCTCTACTTCCCAAATGCTGGGATCATAGGTGTGTACCACCATGCCTGGCTTTTCCCCAGATGTTTCTGTGGCTGGGATGTGGCGGGTTGGTACTAAATAGTGACCTTTTGTTTCCTTGAGCAGGAAGATCCCAGTGTCTGAGTGAACCTCGAGTCCCACTCTCGGCCACCGTTTGCACAAGACACCCAGCACTGAGCATCCTGCTGCTGCATGAACAGGGAGCCTTTGGAAGCACCAACCCTTTGTGCCTTGTGGGGGACAGTGACTCAGAAGCGCTTGTGGGTACAAGAGTTTGCACTGGAGGGGAAAGAGGGCCGAGGACTTCTGTAAGATTTCCAGTCAATACAACACCCCGTAGGGAGAATACTTGAAGTTGAGCGCACTCCTCCCACTCCCCCCTTTTCATCCCAGGAAATAGATCCTCTTTAAAGACTTGCTGAGGGAAAATTGTGTTCTTTTCCTAATTTAATGTGTTCTTTCTTGAATGGATTTCTAATTTATTTTTGTTGAAGTTTTGCTGGGTGGCTTTTCATCCACCTTAGATCAGGACTGTTGGTGGCAACCACCGATCCCTGCCACCTGGTTGGCACCCGGAGGCCCCACACAGTCTGGAGGCTGGACCTGAGCTCCAGGCGGCCACCCTGCCTGGAGAAGGTGTGCGTCCCCTGCCCTCCGCTGGTTTGCACATTGCCTCTTCCTTACCTTGAGCCAGTGGGATCTGTCCTTTTGTACTTCGGGTCCCTGGGAAAGGTGTTTAACTTTCTAGTGATGGATGGTTGTTGGCTTTTGAAATACCAAAGCTTTTTTGTTCTTTTTAAAATAAATATCTTTTAAACTCTCATGACTGGCTTGTGTGTGCTGAACCCTTGGACACATTCATCACACCTTCCCCCACCACTAGATTTTTGGGGTGGTCTTCAGTTTTCTCATGTGGCTGTGGGCCGTGCTGCCACAGGGCCAGAGCATGTTTCCTGCTGTGTTGCAGCCTCCTCCTCCCTTACCCATCCTTGGGTCTGGACCCTCCAGCCCTGGGTTTCTCTGACTGGAGAAAAGGGGGGTGGGGGAGGCAGACAGTGAGGGGCCTTCTGCTCTTTGTGTGGAGAGAGAACTGTCTATTCCAGGGATGAGAAAGGGACTGAATGGGGGTAGCAACCCCCTCAGCTGGGGTCTGTCATCCTTGGGGTTTAGTGGTTTCCCTGACTTTGTGACTCACCAGAAAGCTGGCCTGCTTGCCCAGGATCTGTGTGTCTGGACCACAACAGCTGCTCAAGAGTAAACAAGGGATAGGGCTGTGTTGTGGGCAGCCCTGGTTTCTATTGCTTCAGTCCACAGCACTGGGAGTGCAGAGACGTGGATAGAAGCTAGCTTGCCTCTTCCAGAGAGTAGGGACTGCAAAGTAAGGGTGTTGTTTACATTGTGACAAACCCTGCAGTTTTATTAAAGTGGAAGCTACTAGTAGCTAGGTGCAGTTTGCAGACCTGGAATCCCAGTCTTTACAAAGTGGCAGGAAACCCAGGAGTTCAAGGGCACTCCTGACTACACAGTGAGTTTGAGGCCAGCCCTGCAAACCTCATGACTTGAATTCAATCCCACAATGGATGGAGAGTACCATCTCTCACAGGTTCTCTGCTAATCCCCACATATGTACCATGCGTGGTTGCTGAGAACCATCACACACACGAGACACAAGAAAAATCTTAAATTGGCTCAAATAAACTAAGACCTGCAAACCACAGCTTTCATTTACAAACTCTTACACCAGGCAGGGTGGCATATGCCTGTAATTGCAGCACTGTGAGGATGCAGAGGCAGGAGAGTTGAAGCAAGATTGAAGCCAGCCTCTGCTACATAACAAGTACCAGGAGGTACCAGGCCAGCCAGGGCTACAGAGCCAGTCCCCAGACCCAAAGGCCTTTGCTGTATTAAGTATTTTCTGTCGGTGTGGCTTCATGTGGGAGGAGGTTGCTGGGAAGTTAAGATCTCAAATGCAAACCAGGTATGGTAGTGCACATCTGTAACCCTGGCACTCTGTAACAGATACTGGTATGGACAGTAGCTCACGGCCAGCGTGGGCTACGTAGCAAGATGGTCTTTAAACTCAATTGCAGCCTGGTGCACATAGCAAGTTCCAGGACAGCCAAGACTACATGGAAAGACCCAATTTCAAAAACAAACCTCCCTCAATTTCAGAGATGGGGAATTAAGCCCCAAGGAAAAATGCAAGTCCATGCAACTTCCTGGTGTCAGGCTGGAAGCAAACTGGTTGGGGCTTTCTCTCTGCCCTTCCTCCCCTCAGCACCCCAATGGCTTCTTTGGGATGACTGGTGTGTTTGCAGTGCGCCTCTGAAGTGCTAAAAAGGGAGCTGCCTCACTGAAGGGTCTCTGTGGGCTTGGGTTTTTTTTTTAGTGTGTGTGTGTGTGTGTGTGTGTGTGTGTGTGTGTGTCTGTGTGTCTGTGTAAGAGAGAGACAGACAGACATGCAGACAGGCAGGCAGGGCACAGTGTTGTTTGATTTTCTTTCCTGCCAGGTCCTGCTGCCACTTTAGCCCCAAATAATCACACACAGACTTATATTAACTTATAAACTGTTGGCCAGTGGCTATGGCTTTTACTGGCTAACCCTGTCTTAACTATTAACCCATTTCTATTCACCTAAGTATTGCCATGAGGCTGTGGCTTACCCGTAATCCGGCATGTAACTTCTTGGACAGCATGGTGGCTCTTTTTGGCAGGCTCCCTCTGACTTTCCCAGAATTCTCTTCGTCTCCTAGCCCCGCCTATCTTCCTGCTTCTATCTGCTAATGGCCAAACTATTTTATTCACTAACCAATAAGAGAAACATACATACTGAAGGACATCCCCACATTAAGCACTGTGTACTTAATCAGTACAGGTGCAAATGGAGGCCGGACGAGGACATCGGATGCCCTCTCCATCACTCTTTCCTGTTCCTCTCAGGCAGTGTCTCTTCCTAACCCTGGGACTTGCATCTCAGGGAGAGTGGAAGCTAGCAAGCCCCTGTCTCTGCCACCCTAAGAGCTGGAGTTACCCGTGGCTTTATAGGAAACACCTGGCTTGTTACATGGGTGCTGGGGATCCAAACTCAAGTCCTCACCTTGCATGGCAAGTGCTTTCCCCACTGAGCCTTCTCCTTGGGCCTTTTTCTTTGTTTGTTTGAGACAGGTTTCATGTGGCCCAGCCTGGCCTTGGATTTGGTATGTAGCTAAGGATAGCTTTGGACTCAACTCCCAAATGCTGAGACAATAGACATGTGCCACTCTGCCTAGCATAGCTTGTGACTTTAAATTGTTTGTTTGTTTATTTTTGTTTTTCCAGACAGGGTTTTTCTCTGTGTAGCCCTAGCTGTCCTGGAACTAGCTCTTGTAGACCAGGCTGGTCTCGAACTCATAGAGATCTGCCTGCCTCTGCCTTCCGAGTGCTGAGATTAAAGGCGTGCGCCACCATCAAAGTCCAACCCCATTATTTTTAATCATGTATAGGTACCTATGTGTGGATATGTGTCTGTAAGTACAGATGCCCACAGAGACTAGAGGCATCTGAGTCCCTGGGGCTGGAGTTACTGCAGCTGTTACTCAGCTTGTATGGGTGCTGGGAATCAAACCTGGGTCCTCTGCAAAAGCAGTATATGCTTTCACCTGCTGAGCCATCTCTCCAAGCCCCGAGTTCTGTGTTTTGAGATGGTCTTTCAATGTAGCTAAGGCAGCCTGCCACTCATATATATACTTTTAATATAACTTTTAAGTTTAAATTAGAAACAATCTTATTTTACATATCAATTCCAGTTCTCTCTCCCTCCCATCCTTCTTTGCCCCCCACCAACGCCCCCATCCC